ACTCTTGCAGTCTACAGCTTTTTAAGTCTTCTGTCAAATGTTTATTGCTCTAAAACTCTATTCTTTTTTTTTTCTAATAACTCTCAACTTAATAATGGTTGCTTGGAGACTTGTTTGGACTAAATCAAATTGAAAAAAAAACAAACCTTTAATAATTAAAAAAAAATTAATTTTTTCAGTTTTGTCACAAATTTTTGGTGAGTGAAGAATCATTTTTTAGTTAAGAAAAATGCTTCAAGTTTAATTATCTAACATTACATCCTAAACAAGCAACTGTTCTCTTATTTTCTTTATATAAATATATTGCAACATAATTGATGACCAATGCAGCTCTTGAGTTAACAGTAAAAAGAGAATATGACTAGAATTTCAGATATTCAGTAAATTCCTTTTAACTCAAACCTCCAATGAACCAAAGAATATGGTTTAACTAAACGAATGTTTGACATACGCAAATTAAAATAATTGTTCTTGCTTTCAATGGACAAGAAAACAGTCGGAGATAACAAAAGTTTGAGTTAACCAGTGTTTAACTTACCTGGAATTAACTATATTTCTTATAATGGTACATGGCAAAAACAAGGACGTAATACTTTAAATGATATAGTAACTGTTATCGCAACTGATACAGGAAAATGTCTTGACTATCATTCTCACAAGTTCTTCTGATCACGGTTTGATCTCTCTAAAACTATTATCTCGTTCTTATTCATCATCAGATCCCCCCTATCATCTTACTTCTTACAACTACTTTAAAGCTGACTAGGATTCTTTCCGTGATTTTCTTCCTGATGGCCCTTCCGTAGAAATCTTTTATCTTCCTGCTGACAAATATGCTTCTTAAGTAACTTCTTGGATTTAGGCTGGCATAGAATCTTTTATTCCTTCTCGACGATTCCAAGTCAAGCCTCACTCTTTTACTGGGTTTTCCTCTCATTTTGCAATTTCCAATTGTAACTATTACTTTAATATCTATCAGCGAATTAATTTTCCAGTTTTTGTCTAACACTAAAGCCCGCTCAGGTCACAAAATCTCAAAAATCTCAAAAATCAAGTTCTTGTGAGAAATCACAAGAGAAATTTCTCATCTTGAATTTTTTTTTTTTTTTAATTTTAATTCATCTCCTCAAGGCCGAGAAGGCCACTACAGACGAGGAGGCTACTTATTTGGCTATAACCCTCTCTCAACTCTATAACTCCGAAACACAAACCTTGACGAACAAGGCCCCTGTGCGGAGAAACGAGTTGAGCGCGGTACTACCAGGGACGTGGTGGGGATCGAACTCGGAACCACTCGTTTATGAAGCAAGCGCTCTACCACTACACCACTACCGCATTATAATTACCGAATTACATGAGAAATTTCTCATGTAATTCGGTAATTATAATGCGGTAGTGGTGTAGTGGTATCTTGAATCTAATAACTTACTTTTTGATCTTTATCTTGATTTTGATCAATATGGATTTTGATTTTCTGCTGATTTGTTAACGGTAATAACTGATAAGTTTTATCATGCATTAGATAGATGTGGAGAGGTTAAAGTTATTGCTCTTGCAAATAACTAAAGTCTTTGAAAAATTTTTGCATGCTGGTCTTCTCCATAAGATTTTTTCTTATGGTGTATCAGGCAACATCTTTAAGATTATTGAATCCTTCCTTACCAATCATAGTATAAAAGTTTTCCTTAATGGACAGCACTCTTCCTTATATCCTGTAACCTCAGGGGTTCCTCAAGGTTCTATCTAAGTTTCTGCTTTAAAAATTCTTGTTCATCTACTTTTTTTCATTGAACATCAGTTTTTTGGAATTCGCTCCCTTCATCTTGTTTTCCTGATTCATATAATTTGCAATCTTTTAAGTTATCAGTCAATCGTTATATTGCCCTATAAAGTTCATCTTTTCTCTTCCAGTAACTTCTAACTCTAATAGAGGTTGATTGCAGCCTTGTTGGAAGTAAAGATGTTGAAAGAAAAAAAAAAACTTTGAACTTCAACTTTAAAAGTTGTCTAAAACTTAAAATTTAAAGCAAATCTTTTTAAAAACAATTTACTCTTACTAATATTTTTGTTCATTTTTATTTTAATTGTTTGTTTTATTTACTTATATGTTCATATTTACTTTACAATACATAAAAATGAATATATAAAGCATTTCAATGTCATTGAATGTTATAAAATAATAAATTGGTTGATAATAGTCTACAGTTTTTTACACTATCCTACCAATGGTTTCATCATAGCAGGTATTTGTAACATAGCAGGGATGTGTTGTGCTTTATGCATCAGCATTGCTTGTTTCAAAACATTACAATAATAGTTAACATATAAATAAAAAACCAAATTCAGAAATGCAGTTTGGATAAACATACTCCATCATAGCTGTGTCTAGTAACACTAATTGAATCTTCGAAATAATGAAACTTTTTTTTAATTAAAAAATTCACTATTTTTTTTTATTTTAAAAAAACTATTATTATTATTTACTTTATGGATTTATTTTCCTCTCTAATAACTGATTTTTCTCTCTGATAACTGATTTTCCTCTCTGATAACTAAGTTTCCTCTCTGAGATCTGATTGTAATAGATAATCTCCTGTTTCAATTTCAAAAACAAGTTTCATTTACAACAGCTTTATTACATATTCTTTGTAACAGTGTTATTTTGTAAGCTCCTAGTGCTCAAAAAATTTTTGAATATTTTTGTTTTAGTTTACAGTCTCAATAAATAAATTGTATTGGTCAGTAAAATTTATCAGTAAAATATGTAGCTGAATATTAAAGAAAGTTTTTATTAAGTTAAACATTTTTAAATAGTTAAACATTGGGCTGAAAATTTGTTACATTTCAAAAAAAAGTGAAATAAATAATAAGTATATGAAACAAAACTGAATTTAAAAATTTCAAAGTAAAATGTCATCAAAGTGATACCAAATTAACAAACTAAATAAAGTCTATTAAATACCAATTAAAATGGAATTTTTGTTAAATTCAATTTTTTTTTACTTTTGCCAACAATAACAACCATCTTTCTGATGGTTGTTATTGATTCTTCACCTAATCAGAAATTGTTATAATCCTATCAGTTATTACTGCTACCAAATCAGCTGTAGAACAAGAAGATCGAAATCCATATTGATGATCAGTTGACATTCAAAACTAATAATTAATTTGTATTTCAAGTATGGGTCCAGATGAGATACATCCCAAAATATTAAAAGAAACCCATCACCAAATCTCTAAACATTTTTTTATTATTTATACTAATGTACTTCAAACTAGTACATTACCACAAATCTGGAAAGATGCAAATATCATTCCAATTTTCAAAAAAGGAGACAAGAAACTAGTTACCAACTATAGACCCATTAGTTTAACATGCACTATAGTCAAAATATTTGAAAAAATAATACAAAAACATATTTTTATTCATCTTTTAAAAAATAATCTACTAACTCCTAGTCAACACGATTTTTATCCAGGGCGCTCTTGTGAAACAAATCTTCTTACTGTAATCAATACACGGACACTTAATTTAGATAAAGGTCTTCCCGTCGATAATATTTACCTTGACTTTGAAAAAGCATTTGACAAAGTCCCACATGACTATCTTCTTTTGAAACTAAAAGCCTATGGGATTAATGGTCCAATTCTCTCTTAGATAAAAAACTTTCTCACAAATCGAAGACAAAGAGTAATGATAAATGGTAATTACTCTGATTGGGTATCAGTAAAAAGTGGAGTTCCCCAAGGTTCTGTTCTCTCAGCTCTATTATTCATTATATACGTTAACGATATTCCCAATATAATTACTTCAAATGCAGCACTTTTTGCTGATGATACAAAAATATTTTACCCTATTACTAATTTGCATTCACACACCGTACTTCAAAATGATATTGATATCTTGGTTGACTGGGCAACTAAATGGGGGATGAAATTTAATATAGAAAAATGTTCAGTTTTACACCTAGGTCATAAAAATAAATATCTTGTCTATTCTATGTACGATCCAGTGAAGAAAACAAGGATTGATATCAAATCTACCAACTCAGAAACTGACCTCGGAGTGCATATCGATAATAACTTGCTATTTTCTAAACATACCTCTACTCAAGTTAATAGGGAAATGCAGATGCTAAAAATGCAGATGATAAAAAGATCTTTCTCTTATCTAAATTCGTTTTGTTTTAAAAGACTGTTTTCAGCACTAGTACGACCATATTTAGAATATTGTGGTTCTGTATATAACCCTCGTCTACTGAAAGACAAACGACAAGTTGAAAATATACTCAGAAGAGCATCTAAATCAGTTCATGGATTAAAAAGTCTAACATATCACCAAAGACTATTAAAAATTAATATGACAACCATAAGATACAGACTAATCCGGGGAGATTTAATAAACGTCTATAAATGGCTAAACAACTACTACAACTGTCAAACGATCTTTCCAAAAACAATTATAAATTCTATTACAAGAGGACATTCATTTAAACTAGAAAAACCTTATTCTCGTCTAGCTTCTCGTCAATACTTTTTCACCTTACCAGTAATCAACAAATGGAACTCCCTCCCAGATGACGTTGTAAATGCTACTTCCGTGAGCAATTTTAAAAACAAACTCGACAATTATCTAAAAGAAGAAAAAACAATTTATGATTAGTATATTTATATAGTAACCATAAGACAGGTTGACAGGCATTTCATGCCTATACAAATCCAATTTGTAAACCTTAATAATAATAATAATAATAATAATAATAATAATATATAGTAGGAATTGTAGATTAACAAAAACGAATATAAAATGCAAATCACAAGTAGAATTTATTGCATTTCAAATAAATATATCAGAAAGTTAGTAAATTTATATCTAGTTAGTGAATGTTTGTCAAAAATATTATCTTTAAATATTAATATAAACCACTGGTATTTATCAAGTATTTATTTTTATTTATCAAGTAATGTTTAAATTTGTTTTAAAAGAATAATTTTTTTAGAAAGCGAAATGCATTGGCTCATATGGCTGCTACAGCTCGTCATCGTAAGCATCGTAAATCTCATACAAAACACAAAAAAGGTCGAAGCAAAAACCAAAATACTTTACCCGATATTTCTGAAGAAAATATCGATAAATCAAAGGAAAGTTGCTCTAATGATAAATCTGAAAGCGAAAATGACGATGAAGATTACGACGAAGATGAAGGGTTAGTCTTTAAAGCAATTAATGATAACATCGAAGTATCAAAAATTTCAAAACCTGATGAGTTTAAGATTCCGATTCCAGATGATTCTTTTGGATCACTTAACTCGCCAATCGTAAATTATTCTAATAGTCCAGTATTAGCATGTAAAAACCTTGAACTAAATCAAAATTCATCTGAACTAGTAAGAAATTCCCAATGGAAATCATACTTACAAGATTGTAAGTTATCAGTTAACAATACTCTAGATGAAGTGACAGTTTTAGAAGAAAGTAGATTTTTAATGCTACCAGATCGTGAGTCAAAGTTTTAAATACTCATTATTAATATTATGGTTGTATTAAATTATTGTTATGGCTATATTAAATTATATATATATATATATATATATATATATATATATATATATATATATATATATATATATATATATATATATATATATATATATATATATATATATATATATATGTATAGATATATGAAGATATAGATAGATATATGGAAATATAGATAGACATATGAAGATATAGATAGATATAAAAAATATATAATATAAGAAAAATATATAAAATATATATAGATAAAATGTAAAGAAGTTTATTACCATTTAATGGAATTTGATTTGATTTGATATTGGTATCTATAAAGATTTGATATTCGTGTCTATAAAGATTTGATATTCGTGTCTATAAAGCAAGATTTAATAATGGTGTCTATAAAGCTATAATTCTTTCAACATAAAATTTTCCTCGGATTTTTTTTTCAGATTTTTTTTTTTTTTTTGTATTTCAAAATTCAAATCTTAGTATTTATATTTGTTTTCAGTTTATATTTATTTGTATTTGTTTTCAGTTCATAGAACTTTTATTTATAAAATTTTGCCTTTGTTACCTTTTTTTAACTATTTATTTATACTTAAAAATTATTGAATTATTTATTAAATTGTAAATCTGAATTGTAATAGAAATTAATATTTATTTGTGTTAAAAGTATTTTTATTGATTAAAAAAATTGTTTTTTTCAATAAGTCTCTAAATAGTAATTGCTAGTGACCCCTGAGTGAGATTACCAGGATTGTTTAGCCCTAGTTAAACTTTTTTAATTATTAAGTACAAAAATTTTTAGAAAGCGTAAAGAAATGAATTATAATGTTAGTAACATATATTATATACTCTCTATATATTATTAGTATATAGTACTCTATATATTAATATATAGTACTCTATATATTTTTCTATGATCTCTTAGAGAGATCATACGAGTAATATATAGAGAGATCATACGAGTAATATATATAGAGGTAATACTAGAAAAGAGTGTTACCAAAAACATTCTAGTAAGAGAAAAAGAAGTATTTTGAACAATTTGGATTTTAAATTTAATTAATAAGATCAAAATGAAAATTTTAGATATTTTTATTCTTATTAATTTAATTTTTTTGATCGTTTAATTTTTGTAAAGAAGTTGCTCTGTATTTAAACAGTGAACACCTCTTATAATAATGTCCAAACATCTTCGTAAGAGGTTTTGAACATCATTGCAAGAGGTATTAAACATCATTGTAAGAGGTTTTGAACATCATTGTAAGAGGTTTTGAACATCATTGTAAGAGATTTCGAACATCATTGTAAGAGTTTTAACATCATTGTAAGAGGTTTTGAACATCATCGTGAAAGGTTTTGAACATCATTGTAAGAGTTTGAACATCATTGTAAAAAGTTTTGAACTTCATTGTAAGAGGTGTTCACTGTTTGAACATCATCTGGAGGAAATCATTATATTCCAATTACTTGAATAATGATATTTTTTGACACGTCGTTACTTGTCAAATTATTACAACAAAAAGTCCAAAGCTACTTTTTTGATTTTAGTTTGTATTCATTTAATTTTGTTTACAGGCAACTAAAAAAATGTCTGTAGTTACAGTTCAACTGGGACAATGTGGTAATCAAATAGGTGCAAATTTGTTTTCATATATTCACAAAGATGCTTGCCAACAACCTCGGTTTACCTCCAACTCCAAAGAGAATACAATATACCAACAAGAAGCAATAAATACATTTTTCACTCCATTAAAAAATGATATTTTTGAAGCTAAAGCAGTTCTTGTTGATATGGAATCTAAAGTTATTCAAAAAACAAAGAATACTGTCAACAATTCCGGTGCGTCTAAATTATTTTTTTTGTTAATGCATGTGAAGTTGTTATGTACTTATTGAAAATCTGATAACTTACTATACCGATGGTTTATTATTTTGTTTAAATTATCAAAGATAATAGTGAATGATAATAGATAAATATTAAATGGATTATCGGAAATAAACCGAATATCGTGGAAAATATATTTGGAGTAGCATAGATAATGTATTTAGTGGATTATTGCGACAATATTGGAATATAGGTTCAAAAATGACATTAGTAAAATAACATCAAAAATGAAACTAGAATAACTTCTAAATATGATTACTGAAATATCTTTGAATTTTAAGGTATGAAATTTATGGTTATTTTTATGTCTTACAAGTTGTCGTTTTTTTTCTTTGATATCCTAGTCTATTTATTTGTTATTCCAATAATTTTTGATGTTATTTAAGCTTTTAAAATTTCGGTAGTGTTTTTGATGTTATTCCAGCTGGTGTTTTTAACATTTTGGTAGTGTTTTTGATGTTATTCCAGCTGGTGTTTTTAACATTTTGGTAGACTCAAACATCGCGCAATAAAATGGTTTGTGGTACTATTGGAAAGTGTTTAATTTTTAAAACTATATAGCAGTTAAAATATTTAAGTTCAAAATTTTTTTAGTTTTAGAATTGTATAAAAGTATTTTTCTAAAGGATTATGGAGGTATCCTTCTACCAGCGAATATTATCAACAACAAGGTTCAGGAAATAACTGGGCACTAGGATATCATAAAAATGGTCAGTTAGCTTGCCAAAGTGTTATTGAAATATGCCGGCAAGAAGTAGAGAAGTGTGATCGATTTAGTGGGTTCCTACTGTTGATGAGTTTAGCTGGAGGTACAGGCTCAGGTCTAGGGGCTCGTATATCAAACACGTTGAAAGATGAATTTCCTGAATCCACTATCGTAAGTCACGTTGTTTGGCCATTTCCTTCTGGCGAAGTTGTCCTTCAAAACTATAATGCAGTTTTAACATTATCGCACTTGCAACAATCTTCTGATATAATAATTGGCCAACAAAATAAGTTGCTGCAACAAACTTGCACTGCTCTGGGTATAAAAAATGTTTCAATGGATGCAATTAACAGTGTTGCTTCACACAATTTGGCAAGTATATTTCAACCATCTGATAAATCATCAAACCTAGGTTTAGATATATTGCAAGGTTTAGATCAAACCATGTCCTTACATCCTGCATTTAAGTTAGTATGTATTAAAAATGTTCCTTTAGTAAGTGATAAATCTATGGATTACACTACGTATCATTGGCCAGCTCTACTTAAAAGATTGCGACAATTACTAATATCTGATTCGGCCTGTGAAAGCTGTAAGTTTTGAAAAAACTATTTTAGCAGTAATATTTTTAGTAGTTATATATTAATATTTCAGATAGTGATAAAAAAAATTGATTGATTTGCGCAATCGGTTGTTGCGATCTTGTCACTAATTACCGTAACTCATTTAATTATAAAAAGTCCTTACTTTTTTACTGGTGTAACTTATTTTCAACGAGTCTCCAAACTTCCAAAGAAATATACCGTTGTGCCACGGCGTAAAATTTGCGCACACAATATATATATATATATATATATATATATATATATATATATATATATATATATATATATATATATATATATATATATATATATATATATATATATATATATATTTTTAATCACTAATTGAAATGTTAAAAACTGAAATGGTTAAGAATATTTTAAAAGTAAGAATAGAAAGGAAAGTATCCTATATATCTTCTAAATTTATCTTTTTTTATTATAACTCCTCTAACTATGTTCATATACATTCTAGACGTATTACCTAGAAAGATAAATATTCTTTTAGAATATAAAAAAGTCAATTTTTACTCTACTTTTTGTTACAACTAAAATCAATAATAAACTAAAATTTTCATATTTTAAAATAGGTTTTAACAAAACATTTTTGAAAAGTTTTTTCTTGCTTTTTAATAATCGAGGTAAAAGATTACTAGATCTGTCCAATAACATCTGTAGAGTAGTTCAAGATTATCTGTACACTTTTGTCCAAGATTTTTTTTTTCTTACTCCAACATATGTCCAATATGATCTGGAAATTCAATGACCCCTAACAACATCTTTAGAAAGACGTAACTATATCTGGTAATTTTTCTCCAATAACATCTGTAAGAATTTCCTCCAGATGTAATTACATCTCAAAAAAAATATTATTAGCAACTACATCTGGTTAAAATAATGCATTATAATTTAATAATTTCTTAAGATCTTGTAGTTATATTTAGTATAATTGAAAAGATATAACTACATTTGTAAAATTTCCAGATTTAGTTGCACAGATGTTGTTATACTTAATAATTAAAAAAATGTAACTACATCTATAATAATTATATACATTTTACACAGATGCTATTAGACATAAATGAAATTCCAGATGTTGTTGGATAGATGTTATTATACCTCAGTGTATTTACAGATGTTGTTGGACAGATGTAGTTGTCCATTATTATATTTACAGATGTTGTTAGACAGATGTTATTAGACATAGCAAAAACTGATGTTGTTACCCTGACCTATAATCGACATCCTTATCACGTGATTTATAAGTTTAAAATCAATATTGAAATTAATTGCCGTTTTTATTATAGGCATCGATTGGGAAGTTGCAACTTCTAGGAGTTCTTTTAACGATAATGCGCAATATAATGATCGATACGTAACACAGTCTAGTTTTAATAAATCGTTATCTAATCTTCTTATTCTTAGAGGAAAAGATTTGCACACTGCTGATACTAGCATTTTGCAAGACAAAAGTTTGTAAGTTTTAATATATATTTTAAAACAATAATTTTTCTTTGCGGCACACTCAAACTATTTACAAACATTAAATGTGTATGTATGCGTTTATGTGCGTGTTGGCGATATGACTATTTATGGTCTTATAAAAAAAAACCATTAAAATAATTAACAAAACTTAATTTTTTAAAATGCTATAGAAAATCCAACTCTACCGACAAAAAAACTTTTTTGTTTTTTTAATATTTTTTAGGTTTTTATTGTTTTCATTATAATTATTTTATTTGCTCATTGTTTGTGTTTGTTTTGTTTTTTCGTTTTGTATGACTTTTTGTTCTATTAATAGGTATTCCACAACTTTACCCTACGCGTTTGTTTATAATCAGTGGAATCAATGTCGCGTTTTTAATAACTACGAAAAAAGTGCAACTTTGGTTAGTAACAGTCAAACTTTTAATCGACCTCTTAATGATTGCATTCAAAAAGCTTGGCAAATGTTTAACACGGGGGCTTTTGTGCATCAATATGAAAAGTATGGACTCACCGAGAACGATTTCATTGATAGTTTTGCTGTTGCAGAACAAATATATGCGGATTACTGCATGATTTAGAATTTTTACGGAAGTACAATCATTTTTTAACTCGAAACTTTTTTTGAAAATAATATTTAAAAAGAAATGCTTTTTTTTATCTTTTATTGGGGCAATTTTCAGGGTTTTTTTGATGCAAATTTTTTGGTGTTGTGATTTGTAAGCATGCAAGCTTATTTTAACTTTTCTTAGAAAAAAAAATACTGGTTTAATCTATGTAACTAATAAATAACATCACACATATACAAACAGTCCGATTTAAGGTTTGGTATAATAACATTCCGATCCAACAGTATTGGTATACCAACCGTCTGATTGAAAATTTGCACCAAAAAAAGTTATTAAAATTTCATACCACTTTTAAACAGCCTTCCTTATTTCCTTTTTTTGGATTTAAAAAAGGAAATAAGGAAGAATGAATTAAATATAAATATTTTCAAATAATAAAAAACTTTCAGAGAAAAAAAAAAGTCGAGACTCGTAAATCTTTGCGCTGTCTTAGATAGACCAAGCTTAACTAAAAAACGGCTCACTTTCAAAGATGGAAACATTTGTGTTGAAGATGTGTAACAAATTGCATATTGGTTTAAAGAGAGACCTTTCTAATAGATTGCTTTTCTAATAGATTTCTAATAGATCACTTTATTGAAGTGAGAGATTCAATTTGATCAGATTCATTGATTGAGAGATTCAATTTGATCGGTTATCATACGAATTGTCTTTCTATAACATGTGGAGTCCCACAAGGCTCGATTTTTGATCCACTCCTTTTCCTAATTTATATTAATGATTTAAATAAAGCCTCTAAACTAACAAGTATTATGTTTGCATATGATATTAACTTATTTCTAACAGTGATATCTTTGAACTTTTTAAAACAATGAACAAAGAGCTTAGACATGTACCAAGTTGGTTTAAATGTAATAAGTTAACTCTAAATAATAATAAAACAAAGTGGAACTTATTCGCTTTCCAAAAAACGGTGTTTATTAAACTTACTTAAAATTTTTATTGATCAAATTGAAATAAAAGGGATTCCTTAACAAAATTTTTAGGTGTTTATCTTAATGAAAACATCACTTGGAATCATCATATCGACGACATAAACACTAAAATTTCAAAAATCGTAGGAGTTTTACATAAAGCACGAATCTACCTCAATAAGAAAATTTTAATCAAATTTTATTATTCATTTATACACAGTAATTTAAATTATGCTAATATCGCCTGGGGTAGAAGAGAAAAAAGTAAGTTGCAACGTCTTTATCGTCGTCAGAAACATGCTATCCGTTTAATCTGCTTTGCAATTCGCTTTTCTCACGCAAAGCATTATTTTATTGAAATGAGAATTTTAAATATATACGAGCTAAATATATATAATGTTTTATGCTTTGTATACACATGTGGAAAAATGACTTGTCTCAATCTGTCTTCAAAGATATTTTTACTCCGAAACCCTTAAACAAATACAATTTGAGAAATACTAATTTTTTATATGAACCTTTCTGTCAAACGAACTTTAATCAATTTTGTATTGCCTATTGGGCACCACACCTTTGGAATAAAATTGTTATGCCCAATTTTGACTTCGAACTACCTATTACTTTTCGTTTTTTTAAAAATAAATTAAAAACCCTATTTTTTTCATTAGATGACCTATTATGTTATTATTGATAGTATGAAAAAATAACTTTGCCTTTTCTTATTTACATTTGTAAAAAGTTTATTCTTACTTATTTTGTTGATTTTATATTCTTTACTTAACGTATACGTTTATATAAAATATTGGAGAGTAGACCCGCGTGATCTCTCTTTGGATTATATAATATATACTTGGGAAATTTGTATAAATTTAATACTGTTGTTACCTTTGTTAATGCTTATTTGAACTTATTTAAGGTTCTGATGACAAGATCCTTTGATCTTCTTTCAGATACCTTATTTTATATTTGTGAAAATTTATTATTATTATCATTATTTTTGTTTGGGAACATATAATAGTAATACGCCCAACAAATGTAAAATAAAAAAAAATGAAAATAAAAAAATCAAAAGATTGTCACGTTTCAGAGTATCCAGATGGCGGACCTCTTAAATAAGTTACTTTTTTTTCCATATCGTTCACAAAGGTTTATGTTAAGAACTGCGTTTCTCCTTCAGGGTAAATATTTAATTTCTCATCCAGAGTATATTTAATTTCTACTTTATTCTGCCAACTATTTATTTGATTCTGAGATTCATAAAAACAAAAAAATGATTGTCTATTTTTCTGCGGGTTGAAATTTGTTTCTTACCTGATGAATAAAACCATAAAGAGTGGTATTAAGTAGGTTCACCTCAAACTAATTTTTTTTTTTTTTTTATGGAAATGAACTTTGTTTCTGGCATCTTTGCTAAAGATATTCCTTTTCCATGTACTCTTTTGGACAAAATCTAATTAAAAACCACAGCATACTAGACCGGAATCAATCAAATGTGTATCGTTAAGTTGAGTAAAGAAGATTGCATTCTGATGAGATCCTCACTAAGAATCATCATTAAAGATATTTTCTGATTGAAATATCTTTCTGACTAAAAAGGTTTATTGCTCAAAAAGCTTTGAACCAAACGGTTGTCAAAATAATTAATTCAAATAACTTAGTTCATTTCACCAGAGATTTTACTCCATTCAGTTAATAAGAAGCTTCAGGATCAAGATCCTGAAAAGATACAAAGATTTCTCTGGATTCCTTGACTAAGAGCCTCAATGAGTATACATTGGCTAGATTATGACTACTGCGTGGGATGTAGATTATAACTACTGCGCAGGATGTAGATTATGACTACTGCGTGGGATGTAGATTATGACTACTGCGTGGGATGTAGATTATGACTACTGCGTGGGATGTAGAGAACTTGATGATTCTTTTAAATTATGGTTGTTTTCCTTTTAAACTATGGTTGTTTTTACCGCATCGGCCAAACGTGTACAAAAAAGTACACGTTTGTACTTCTTTGTACACGTTTGGCCGATGCGGTATTGTTGACATACTGAACTGGTAATTAAAATTTTAAAATAGATAGTTTGATAAACAAACAATAAGTACCCTTCCCACTGGGCACAGAACGTAAAAAAGATGTCTTTTGAACGTTTTGGGCATCTATTTAACGTTCAAAAGATATCTTTTTTAGGTCATGTGCCCACTGGGTTTAATCTATTTTGATAAACTATAATTGAATTTTAAAAAAATTTAGTCAATCCTTCTGATCCTGCCTGCCAACCGTAATATGATTGTGTAAATATGTTATACATTTTTCATTTTTTTCTGGCTTATATATATATATATATATATATATATATATATATATATATATATATATATATATATATATATATATATATATATATATATATATATATATATATATATATATATATATATATTAGGGAAAATATTTGGGACATTATAGCATCAACAAATGACGACGCGTCTGTGATGGTTAAATATGAAAATGATATTAACCCAATAAATCAACTGTGTTGCAAACCATGCAATTTATTTGACAGTGCTAACAAGGCCGGCGCGATGGGTGTGTGTGTGGCGTGTGACCCCACACACACACCCACACACATCAATGATTCTGCCGTTCATTTAGTCGGCAAATTTGACCCTTTTTGACTAGTTAGTCGGCAAATGTAGACCCTTTTGACAAGTTAGTCGGTAAACTTAGACAGTCAGTCAGCAAATATCGTTATGGCAGTCGGCAAATTTTAAAAAATGAGGAACTTTTTTTTTTTTTTTTTTTTTTGAAAAATAGGCAAAGATTGTAATAGAACCCCCCTCCCCCCACGTGACACCTACTCGCGCGAACCGTGAGTGCTAAGTGTACTTTATTCAAAAACTTCGCAAACCCAATCAAATAATGAAACAGAAGAATTTTCTGAAAATTATGATAAGAAGGTAAAAAATACTTCAATTCAAATATCGATGAATATTTTTCCAACACTGCAAGTATAAATTTTATTGAGAATGAAAAAAAATTGGAACTAACCATAGATATAAACAGTGTGATAAAAGTAGAATATGCAAATTTTTTAGGAACTCACCAGTTTAAAACAGAGGTAAAAATTTAAACTTATTGTTAGATTGTCGTACGCGCTGGAACTTTTTGATTGATATAATAAATCGTTTCTTGTTATTATTTGACCCTATCTATATGACTTTAGAGAAACTAGGTGCAATGATTCCATCTGGTGACCATGTTTTTTTTTTTTTTTTTTTTTTTTTATTCACCTCCTCAAGGTCGGGAAGGCCACTACAGACGAGGAGGCTACTTATTTGTGGCTATAACCCTCTCTCAACTCTATAACTCCGAAACACGAACCTTGACGAACAAGGCCGCTGCGCGGAGAAACGAGTTGAGCGCGGTACTACCAGGGACGTGGTGGGGAAGAAGAACTTTTAGCTCTATTGGAACTTTTAGCAGAAGCTATTATTTAGTTAAGAAAAAAAGAGGCAAATTTGATTATTTCTGTAGAAACTATGATTTTCGTTTTCAATAAACTTAAAAAAAATGGCACACCTTTGGCTCTAAAGAAGCGTAGCGAGCTAATTATAAGAACCAATTAACGCCGAAACACATATATACTTTCTCTACTGATGTTCCTTCACAATGGTCAATATCCGCAATCAAAAAAATAATCCGCAATCAAACTAAACAAAAGCTATACATAAAATATCTGAAAACAAAAACACCAGCTAGCGAAAAAATTTACAAAGATTACAAAAATCTTTTTGAAAAAATCCGAAAAAATTAAAAAAAAAACTTACTATTCAAAATTAATTAATAAAGTTAAAAATGACTCAAAGAGCAATTGGCAAGTATTGAAAGAAATTATTGGGAAACAAAAAACATGCTCATGCTCTTTGCCACAAATGTTTAAAGTCGATAACAATAGCTTATATGAACCACAAATAATAGCTCATGAATTCAATAAATATTTCACTAAAATTGGATCAACAATGTAGAGTAAAATACCGAAAACCCAAACCTCATTTTTGAATTTTTTACCTATTTATAAAGATATTTTCTCTAAAGAATTATCTG